AAAGATGCCCGCCATCACTATTCATTAAAGAAACGCAAACCCAAACCATAATCACACACCACTTCACACCTCTTAGGATGGCTATAATTTAGAAAAAAATAAAAGGAAAACCAGTGTTGGCACGGATGTAGAAGAATTAGAACCCCCAGACATTGCTGGTAAGAATTAAAACGGTGCAGCCACTATGGAAAGATTTAGTGGTTCCTCAAAATTTAACCAAAGAATGATGTTTAAATTCCACTCCTAGGTATATATCTAAAAGAACTGAAAATGTGTTCAAAGAAAAACTCATCCATGACTATCGTAATAGCACATAATTCATCACAGTCAAAAGGCAGAAACCAACCTAAGCTCATCCACTGATGAATGAGTAAACAAAACATAGTAACTCAATGAGATAAGATTCAGCCTAAAAAGGAATGAAATATCAATACATGCTACAGAACAGGTGAACTTCAAAACATGTTGGTATATGAAAGAAGCCAGACACAAAAGGTCTCATACTGGATGGTGATGGAGAATATCCAGAATACGTAAATCAATATAGATGGACAACTGATTGGTGGTTGCCAGCATGGGAGAAGGGGGAAATGGAGACTGATTGCTTAATGGGTTCAGGTTTCATTTTGGATGATGAAAATGTGTTGTACCTAAGTAGAGGTGATGGCTGCCCAACACTGTGAATGTACAAAATGCTCTAGACTGTACACTTCATAATGGCGAATTTTATGTTATGTGAATTTTACCTCAGTAAAGACAAATCACCCCAGGACCAACATGTACTGTGCTTTGGGATGAAGGGCACCCTCCTCAGCCTGGCATCCAAGATCCCCATGGAGGATCACACTTGCAAAGATGGTCAAAAGCGTAGTATCATCGTTATTAACACATGACATTTGTTGCGCGCAGCACACTCTGCTCTTTCCCAAGTGCTTTACATCATTGACCCATTTAATCCCCCCAACAATAAGATGTTAGGACCATTATCACCCTCATTTTACAGAGAAGGAAACTGAGGTACCCACTCATGTGTAAACTGTCATACAACTAAGTAGATGACACAGCTTCCTCTCTGTGGTCCTGGCAGACGCTCTGGGGTGGGAATCGGTGGGGTGTTGCCAATGGGGTGATATAAATGGGAGGATCCCAACAGGCATCCATGGGGCCCCTGCAAAGGCTTCCAATTGCTAAACTTTGTTCCTTTCTGTATTAATCATTTCTCTTGAGTAAACACTAGTCCTACAGTCTGCGGGTTCCCATTGTGCTAAATTACATGGTGAGCATGTATTGCAAATTACACTCATTATTAGAAGTTGCACGGCAACATTTATACTAATTAAGTTGGGGCGCATTTCTTTAGTTCTAATTTTAAAATGCTGGCAGAACTCCAGAGCCTGATGTCCGCACATGAACTGCCACAGACGCATAGCGCAAAATGTCCTCTGAATTTTCTAGCTATTCAGGATTATTTCACGCTTAAAAATGCTCACGGATTTTTTTTTTCTTTTTCCTTTTTGTTAAACACTATTACCGGGATGAATGTAACAGAGTGTAGTTTTAAAGTAAGAGTTACACAGCATGATTCTAAAAGAATCAACAGTGTTAATATTTTTAATGTATTGGAAAACATTTTTTAACGTCTCTTTTCCCAAAAATGACAACTACCCAGTGTGATTAGGAGAACACAGAGAAGGAAACAGCCGCAACAGCAGCAGCTACACTCTACAGGGCTCACTCACGTGCAGGCATGTGCTGAGTGGTTTACAAGAATCATCTCAGCTATGTCTCCCATCACCAACGAGGAAGGTACCACCTTACAGCAGTCAAGTTACCTCCTGAAGTCAGGAAGGAAGTGACAAGCCAGGATTTGAACCTCGTGTCTGAGCCATAGTCCACTCTGCTCTTCAAGACTGTACATGGTCTATCTGTGCATGCACGTCTGCAGAGGCAAAAAACCCAGCATCTATAAGACATATGACTCCCAGGCCGGGCACGGTGGCTCATGCCTGTAATCCCAGCACCTTGGGAAGCCAAGGCAGGAGGATCACTTGAGCCAGGAGTTCAAGACTAGCCTGGGTGAAAAAGTAAGACCCTATCTTTACAAAAAATAAAAATAATTAGTCCGGTACCGTGGTGCATGCCTGTGGTCCCAGCTACTTGAGAGGCTGAGGTGGGAAGACTGCTTAAGCCCAGGAGGTCATGAGCTGTGATCACACCACTGTGCTCCAGCCTGGGTGACACAGCAAGACTCTGTCTCAAAAAAAAAAAAAAAAAAAAAAAAAAAAGACATATGACTGACTCCCAAACACTGCAAAGCCAATTGGTATTGCATCATTCATCGGATCATTTTCAGCCATTCAGACATGGCTGCCTGAGCGTGTGCCATGTGTCACGCAGGGCTCTAGCAGCCAGGAGCAGGCCCTGACCCTCCCTGTACCCATCCTTCTGATATCACTGACTTTTCCTGCCAACCTACGCACTGTTGCATCTTCCTTCCTTGGCACCTGTTCTGATTGGTAGGGCCCCTGGAATTAGATAGAGGGTGCTCCCCGCTACTGACTTCCTCCTGAACAGCAGTGTCTTACCTACTCCCTCCCTAGGCAGCTCCCCTGCAAGTGACCACCTTTATACAAACTCCCTGGAAATAATTTTGTCCTCGCCCACTTCCTCCTGATGGCCTTGTTCTCCCTTGATGCCCTCAGCACCCTGAAGTCACAGCAGAAATAAACAGGCAGGAGCAGTCCACAGTCAGCTGAACACGCACATACTCATGCTGACAGCTTTGCTCTTCCCTCCACAGACACGCAGGCTCTGGCTGTCAGAGGGGGCGATGGATGAGACCGTGGCTGCCCCGGGGGTCCCCATGACTGGGACTCACAGTGCTGCCTTGGCACAGCCTGGATCTTTGCTCCCGAGGCAGTGGCTGTGCTCCACCAAGTACAAGCAGAGCCAGCAAGACAGTCCTCCAGCCTGCAAAGATCAGGTGAGAGGGAACACTGCCACCTCCCCTGCTGCTGCCAGGGGTCAGGAGGGTCATGGTGTTTACTGATGAGGGATGAGAGAGAGGAGAAACCAGGTGCCCCCACAGCCTTGTCAACCTGTAGGGCCCCAGTGGTGTTTCCAGTGCCCCTTACTCCAGATTACAGCGTGCTGTCTTACGTTTGCCCACCTAATGTGTGGCTGGTTTTCACAGCATCCTGTGTTCCTAATACTAAGAACTTTCCCATTTTATCTCCCAGAACATGTCATCATCCCGTGGGAGACCCCTACGTCAGAAAAGGGAGGGCATAGTCCTTAATTTGCCTCTATGAGGAGTTTCCTCCGGGGACAGGGGACCTGAGCACCTGGCAGCCCCTGCCTATGCACTGGGATGGGGGTCTGCCTGGGGTTTTGAAGTAGGAGGCACTCTTGGGGATGAGGGTGGGCCACTGAACCACACAGCAGCACTGAACAGGCCCGAAGAGGCAATTCCGGGAGTGGAAGGATTTAAATCTCCATCAAAATGGGGGTCTGACAAAATGTCCAGAATCCCCCAGTGCGTGACTGGGATAAAATACTATGCAAGGAAAGTTCCGGCACTGTAGTCATGCCCACACTTCACTTACTATCAGCCTTTCTCCAGCACACTGACACCAAGTGCTCAGTGTGGAAGCAGATCCAAAGCTGAAGACTTCCTGAGAACTGTCCACTTCTATAAATGCGTTCCTTCCCCGGTTTCCGTGTGATGTCCCATACATAGTACAGACACACACACACACACACAATCCCATCTCTCTGCACACAGAGTAACTGGGAAGGTGATGGAAGCCCTTTCACAGTATAGGTAAAACATGATTAGTTGTTTTAGCCTAGCTTCTCTAATATGAAAGTCAGATATTCTCTCTTAGTGTGAACAAAATACAGCAAATGTTGAAAGTGAACTGTAGCCACTCATGATGGTACCTGCAGAGTTCAGCTGCATAAAGACCCCCCTACTCTCCATGACTGTGAACGGAGAGGGCATGGTCCTGGAGTGGTAGCTTCCTGTCAGTGGGCATGGTCACCTACTGAGACACGAGGTGTCTGAACACCGTTGAGCATTTCTGGGCAGTTGCCCAAGTGAGTGAGGCTTGGTGGAATTCTTACGGTGCCAGGGACGACTTTTCCTCTGAGTGCAGTGCAAGAGCTTGTAGGGCCTCCTTCACTTTGCAGGAAAAAAAAAAAAAAAAAGAAAAACCAGGTTCGGGGATAAACTGATTTAAACGAAGCACCACATCGAATGAAATCTAATATTTATTCTCAGCAGGAAGTCTGTTCTCATCATAAGTATCAAAACCAATTCATAGGTGAGCCATAATATATCTGAGCTTACCCACATGGGAGCATTAGCAGTTTAAAAACAATTTGAGCATTTATCAAATATACAGTTTCTGAGAACGTAGGCTATTCATTCAACAGGATATGGTCTTAAACTAAAAGCAGTATGCTTCTAAAAAAAGAGAGGGAGAAAAGAAACGCAGCTAGAGAAACTCTCCCCTCCAATTTTGTGTTGTGACATTTCAAATCCTTGGTTAGTCAGCTTCCATATAAAATATTTCCCAAAATGTCTGTAACATTTTCATGTTAGTTGAAGGGTGCGGGTCCAAAATTCTAAGGGTGTTCTGTTTGCTTAAAGAAAATTTAGCTCTTTTATGTTAGGTGAAAGAGAGATTACTTATACGTTAAGTATCAATTGAACGAAGTAGAAGACATAAAACAGGCAGAAAATCATTTGAACCAAACTGTTACCCCACCAACTAACGGATGTTACATTTTAGAAACCGGGAGAGAGGCTGAAGCACAGAGTTGACGAGGAATAGAACTGCTGTGACATTCCTAAATTGTCAACCAGTAGCAACATTTAATATTAAATTAAAGACTCACAGAAAATGCATTTTTTTCCTCACAATCTAAACCAGCAACAGAAGGAACATTCTGGGAATCCCTTTCCGCGTCTGCGCTGTGCATCCATGGATACTTACAGAGCCCCGCGTCCTCAGTAGCCCCTAGGTGACCAACTCGGTCAGACCCATGTCCACAGCACTGGAGTCTCCTGGGCTGATAATCTGAACATTCCCAAGCAGGCTACTGATGCGAAAAGCAATACATTATTTACTGGGTATTCCCTTTGTAATTTTCCTTCTGAAGCTCGCGGCTGCCGGCACTCACACTATGCCATCAGAAACCAGAGCAAAGATCCAGCAGGGAGAAATTTACAGGAGAGACCACTCATCTTGAGTTGAAATAAATGCTCAAAAATAAATGTATAATTCACTGCAGCAGAGTGATTTTTTTTTAAGTTCATAATCAGTCAGTAAGAAAGGTGGCATACAATCCAGCGTGGCTGCTGAGAGCCGGGCAACCCGCGTGCTCCATGGTGCAGCCGGCAGTCCCAGCTGGGTAAGCAGAATGCTTCTGTGCACTGAGCTCAGAGAGGAACAGACGGCGAGAGCACCCTGCTCCCAGGATGAGTTGGATGCACAGCCCACAGGGAGGAAGAAAGGACAATGAGCAGCGTCGATCATGATTTCCTCCCATGGTTCACATGTAGTTTTAAAATAAAAGTCATTGCTGATGACACACTTTCCGAGGATCCTTGCAAAGCAAAACTAAATTGAACTACAGCATGGAGTGAAGAAAACACAAAAGAGCTCTTGAGCACATGTAGGGTTAGTGCCTTTCCACAAATACGGTCAAGGTTTTTTTGTTTTGTTTTGTTTTGTTTTTTTTAATTGTTGTAACAACATTTGACATGAGATTTAGCCTTTTAACAAAAAAGTGTACAACGCAGTCTCAGTGACTAGAGGCATGGTGTGGCACAGCAGAGCTCTCAGACTTGTTCATCTCTGGTAACTGAAACTTTAAACCCGTTGAACAGCAAATTCCCATTTCTCCTTCTCTCAGCGTAAAGAACAATGCTATTTCAGGCACGATGCTGCTTTGAAGAAATACCTTCTCATATCAGAGATCTCTTTGCCCCCTTCTACAGCACTTCCTAAAACAAAAAGGGAAATGTACCCTCAGGTTTTACTCTGTTCTGTTATCTGAAAAACTGAGGCTCCTGCAGCTGCCCAGTCTCACCAAGTTCTCCTTCTCTGTGACAAAGGGGAATTTTTTTTCACATAGCTTCATTTCACATTCTATGGGTTGACCAGTCTCCCTGGGAATATGGCGACTTCATAAAGAAGTGCCCTTCCCAGTGGCGTGGTCACTCGTGCAGGTCTTACAAACGCGCACCCGTAGCTCCAACACAATTTTGAGTCTTTCAGAAGGAACAGGGACGTAAACACGTCAACGCAGCACATCATGTCGGGAGGATGGTCTGCTGCCACGTCTTTTCCTTTAAAAGACGATTACACTTCCTATGTGCAGTGCCAGGCACTCACTTTCATTTGTCCCCAGAATTTGATGTGAATTACTGCTTGTAGAGCACTTTCTATGTGCCAAGGACTGTGCTAGACATTTATATATTCCATTTCATTCAATTCACTATTATTCTTGCCTCCCATAAAGACAAAATCCAGACAGAAATGGAAAGCTTTAAAAGATGGAGGCACAGATCGACAGCGTTCCCAGAGATGCGTTCTGCGTGGCAAAGACAGTGACCATGCTTTCACAGCAACTGGAATAGCAGCCTGGGGGGAATGCCCTTGCTACTTCAGCCTCAGATTCCCCAATCGCTGCTTTGCTTTCCTTGGTGATTTTGATGATCGCATTAGTTGTTTGCAAATCCATTTATCTTCTGAAAACTCCCCTTCTCATTCATTTTCTGTTGATAAGGAATTTCTGAAACAATCATTGAAAACCATCTCTACTGCAGACAGCCAGTGCTACTGACTCTGCAACAGGATTTGAGATCTCTTTTATTCCCAAAGGGGGCCATTATTTCCACTGGTTGTCATGGTGATGTTGCAGTATTGCTGCTGTGTGTTCGGCTGCTTCCCATTGCAGTCATACCACACACTTAAATCAAATCATGTGTTTCACATGGTACTGGCTATATAAAACTTAGTGAATCGAACTCTCAGCTTCATCTCACAGTGATGACGAATGGGGACAGATGGAAGTGTCCGTGTGTGCCAGTGTAAATGTGACGGAAGCAGCGGGACTTAAAAACAGAAAGATCGGGGCCGGGCACGGTGGTTCAAGCCTGTAATCCCAGCACTTTGGGAGGCCGAGACGGGCGGATCACGAGGTCAGGAGATCGAGACCATCCTGGCTAACACGGTGAAACCCCGTCTCTACTAAAAAATACAAAAAGTAGCTGGGCGAGGTGGCAGGCGCCTGTAGTCCCAGCTACTTGGGAGGCTGAGGCAGGAGAATGGCCTGAACCTGGGAGGCGGAGCTTGCAGTGAGCCGAGATCTGGCCACTGCACTCCAGCCTGGGTGACAGAGTGAGACTCCGTCTCAAAAACAAACAAACAAACAAACCAAAAAAAACCAGAAAGATCATCTTCAAATACATTAATTTACTCTCCTTCATTAAGCAATTTAAGGACAGAATTTGTATTATCATCAATAACTTGAGAAATGGTTTTGAAAAAGCAGAAGTTATATGTCTAGAAATGAGAAACTATATATTTTCGGTTGTTAGTTCACATTCATTTGAACTTTTGCCATATTCAGTTTTGAATATGCTTAGTTCCCCCATTTGTATATTTCCTTTCTTGTCTCTTATTTGTAACTAGTACACATAGCCACAAATGCATGTACATGTACTTATATTAATTCCTATGGTCTCTAATCTGTGAACTCTGGCTTTAAAATATACATGAAGGTTGTTGATTCTGCTTTTCAGTCTTCAGTGCCCTGGTTTCCTGAAGGATGTACTATTCAAGTGCTGAACTGAACTTGAACTCCACAAAGCTGGTCCTCTGAGGCTGCAGCCCCTGAGTCCAGGTTGTGGAGGGATATTAATGCCTCACTGCCAGCAGCAGCAGAGGAACGTGGAAGATTACCTTGAACATGGAGCCTATGGACTCCATAACTTTTCCTTGTGGGCAAACTCAGAGTGTACCTGGGTGTTCAGGGCCAGTGGTCAGCTGTCTTCAGCTTTCATTACAAATGCTCTTAAGAGCTGGGTTTGATTCCTGGGAAAAGCATTGATCAAAAGGGGAGAAATAAGCTGGATTGTACTTCAGAGGCGGCTGTTTGGAACAGACAGGTGGTTTATGGAAGCCAGACTTCAAGGAAATGTTAAATCTAAGTTCGGCCCAAATTCGTTAAGTTAACCTGATTTTGACTGTTGCACTGTGTTCTTTTTTTTCTATTTGTTTTTTGCTTTGCCTGTTTTAATTTCTTCTGTTTCTTTCTTTCTTTTTTTTTTTTTTTTTTTGCCGTGACACTATAAGCTTGGCCTGGTTTGAGGCTGAGAAGGTTTGTTGTTTCTGAATTAAAAAGAAAACTCTTTCCACGTAGGAAAGAATGTTGTGGGGGCCTCCAAAACTCAGGCTGCCACAATGAACAGACATGCTTCTTACAACACCCACTTCAAAAAGAAATGAGGGTTGTAGCATTCACAGGAACTCCCAACAGCCAGGACATGACGGTCCTGTTTCTGTGAACTTGGAGCCTGCGTGTGCCTGGATCTAGCCATTGGTGCACCTCTCAGCCTCCTCCTTCATTGGAAAGAAGAGTTTTCATGAGCTCAGCTGCTGACATGAAACAAGGCTGGGGGCTGAAGCTGAGTGCCAGGAGGCATACTAGCTGGATGGGAAGGGACTGGCACGGGTTCCAGCGAGATACCACAGTCATAAAAACTGGGGAAGCTGCAGGGGCATACATTCTGAAGGGGACTCTCAGGTTGGAGGTTTTATTGTAAGGAATGAGTGATTTGAATCAGCTTTAACAGGGCATGTATATAGTATGATTCCAGAAAAATGGGGGCACCACTGCCTTCTTTCCCACCCTCCTTACTAGTGTGCAACATGCAAACACCCACGTCCCAAACCCTCTCTTCGGTGTTTATTTCTATGGTGGAAAGAGTGATTTTGACAGGGCAGCTTTTGAGATCTTCCTTGTAACCTACTGTTGCATGAATGGGCGTCTTTAGCTCTTTAAACTGCCTTTGGTGAAACATAGGTAAAGTTACATGTTGCCAAGCAACGGAAGCTTCCGACATTGTATGTCCTTCTTAGAGAAGCTCTCTCCCTTCCAAATAATTAGACATCAGTCACTGCTCCACGTCCATACTGGGAATAACACAGGAGACTCAACATCATCCTGAAATGAAAAGTGAATCACACTGATTCCTGGCAACAAGATGTCCATGACATGAATTTTCCCTTAGAAACTAGGCTCTTTAAGACCAAGGCTGGCATCTAAGACAGGAGCATGTGGGCTAGATGGCTTGCTGAACCCTTAAAGAAAGCCCCCCTCCATTTCACGCTAATGCACATTTTATAAATAGAGGTCCAATTCATTTAGCTCAAGGTGGTCTGGAATATTTCGCACGCGTGTGTGTGTGCGCGTGCACGCTCGTGTAGAGTTGGTATAAACATGGACAGAATGGTAAATGAGGCACCTAAGAATGATTAGTTTGTGGCCTGGCAATCTTCCTCTGACACTCAGCAAATTCATCATAACTGCAAGCAATGCTTGCTTTAGCCATCTTGCTATCCCATCCAGAAGAATTAATCAAATGTTGCAGCATCATTGGAAAACAGGTTTTCATATAGGTGTTTATAACAGCTTATTGCATGATGGTGCTGATGAAATCACAGAACGGCTTGGATGCTGTCCAATTCTAAACCCCACCGTCAGGGTCTGGACAGTCAGCTAAGCCTCAGCTGGGTAATTTTGCTATTCTAGATCCGCAGATCCAGATCTCACTCCTCCTCCTAGCTTGCCTTGGCTTCTGGATACGTTACTGTTAGTAAGAAGCAAAGCACATAACCATCTCCAGGGAAGCGGATGGAAGAAAACCAAGAGGACCAGGTAGAATGGGCCACTTGACCCTTGAGCCACCTCCCACTATGAGGAACCAGGTGGGTCAGCTTATCTCACAAGCAGACATGGTGTGTTCATAATTCCCTCATCCTCAGAACTCACTGGGAGACACACTTTGGGTTCTCTTCTCTGAGAACAAAGATGTGTGGATCTGTGAAGCCTGAGTTTGAATGCTGGGGCCTCCTGGCTCTCAGGAGTGGTGGGGGTTGAGCCTCTCTTGCCAGCTGCTGCCCCTCTGCCCTGATGGAATAGACACCACCGTGGGACGGGGCTGAGGTCAGATTTACTCTTTTTGGTGGGCGACACCTACGGGTTTATCGACCAGGAAGGCCTCACCTTAGAACGCGTCTCCCAGTGACTGGTTCAAAACCATATCCCTTTCAAGACAGAAGTTCAATGCTAGTAGGTGGCTTGGATTGGTGGGCACATCCCTTAGCTCTTAGGAATCCTGGGGATGGGGGACTGGGGAGAGAACTGGTATCAGAAACCCAAAGTGAACTGAAATGTGCAGTCTTAGCCCAGTTTGGGGCCAGTGCAGACCTGGAATGAGGCTCTCCCCTGCGTTCCAGCAGGGCGTCAGGAGGACTAACAGCCCCTGGGACATCGGTCTGCACGGCCACAAAATAAAACAAAACAAATGTGGCCACATCAGTGAAAGAAATCACTGAAGCTCGTCTGGTGTTGGACAGAGAAAAATCACTGAAAATTGACTGAGACACTTGGAGGTGTTAGTTGACTTATTTATTTATTTATTTTTTGAGACAGAGTCTCGCTCTGTCATCCAGGCTGGAGTGCAGTGGTGCGATCTCCGCTCACTGGAAGCTCCGCCTCCTGGGTTCACGCTGTTCTCCTGCCTCAGCCTCCTGAGTAGCTGGGACTACAGGCGCCCGCCACCGCGCCTGGCTAATTTTTTTGTATTTTTAGTAGAGACAGGTTTCACCGTGTTAGCCAAGATGGTCTCTATCTCCTGACCTCATGATCCATCTGCCTCGACCTCCCAAACTGCTGGGATTACAGGCGTGAGCCACCGGATTTCATTTATTTATTTATATCCAGCTTGCTTCTAAAAGGATATAAAGTCATGTAAGGACTATTCATTCATGCACCTAAAATTCACTGGGTGCCTCTCTCATGCCAGCACTTGTGTGAGGGGACAGCGGGATGGGATCCCCATCCTATGGGGCCTGCGTTCTTGCGGGTGAGAGAATGGGTAAATACCACAGTTCCAAATACTGGTAAGTGCTTTAATGACAATATAAAGTAAAATGGGGGTACAGAAAGTAACTTGGGGCTGGAAGTCAGACAGGCAGCATCAGATGGGGTGGGCAGGGAAGGCTTTTCTGGAAACTAATGATGGAATCAGAGAAGAGAGCTCTGGCTGTGCTCCCTTGGAAAAGAAAATCCTTCACCAGTCACCACGGGGTGGACACTGCAGGACTCTCTCCCTCAATTCTCGTACTCAGGGTGGGCTTTGGGGACGCGAGAGCAGAGCAGTGCTCAGGCCCTCACTCAGAAGAGAGACCCTCGTGCTTGGGGCTTAATGCTCTGTAACTGCTACCTTCACCTGTCATAAGAATTTTATCTCTGAACTTGTGTTTTGTGAGGGAACTCTGGTGGGGCAATGGGACATGTGCCGGGGTATGGCCCCTCAACTCACACCTGGCCCACCTCCTGCCCCGCCCCGCTGGGTTCTTGACTGTCCACTTCCTGCCCCGGCCAGCAACTGAGACTCCCCCCACTCCTCAACAGGGAGGATGGGGGCTGGATGGACGCCTTCTACCTGCCCAGTTGAAGGCAGTGAGAGTATCCTCGTGCCTGGGGGAATGTGACATTAAATAAAAGGCAAAACACACATACACACCCACACACACACACATACACATACACACAGCACTATGAAAGGTCCAGAGAGAGAACACGAAGAAAGGAAAAAGCTTTTTTTCCTGCCTTTTGAACAAGTGACCCCGGGTTTTAAGTAGCCAGCCCTGTTTGTGCTAAGTGCTGCCCCAGGCTCTGTGAAGAACGCAAAGATACAACTGTCTTCTCCCTACTCCCCTGTCCTCCACGCCTGGCCACTCATTCACACATCCATCAGCAACGCAGGTTCCTGAGATCCGACGCACAATGCACGCTGGGTAAGCCCTGGGGATCCCAGGACAATGGGCTCCCTCGCCCCCTCCAGGAGCTGAGACCCGGGCCCCCCACCCCCGTCTGTGACAGTCATGCGTGGC